GTTCTGAAAGTCTCTGATTTTTGAGATCCGGTGTTCTGGAAGTCTCTAGCAGTAACCACCTCAAATTACAGTTCAAAATTGGCATAAACGGTTTCTTTGTGCCTAGACTGTCTTGCAAATAATATAAGTATAATAAAAAGTGGAAAAATGCAATATCACACCCCAAATAAAGATTTATCGTCCATACACTCTACTCTCGTTATTGTTCACGTTTATGTATTTATATGTATCACGTGTATGCAAAAAAGGTGAAATTTAAATAAATATGATAACGAAAATATCATCAAAAAGAATCAAAATTGATATGATGAATCGCCTGTCATAAGACTAAGAAAAAATTGTATGGAGTCATCTTCAGCTGAACACGAGAAGTTTATTAAGGTACCTACCGACCTTTTTTTTCATGAAAGTGGAAGTTTTTTGAGTCACGAATATCAATCAATAATTGATTGTAGAGAGGAAATACAGAAAAAATATTTTGCCACTTTCGAAAGCTTCAAAAACATCGTAGTGCCATCTTTCCGCTAGTAGTAAAAGTCCTATTGAAATGATGTATGAATAAGTATCTAATCGAAAAGAAATCTTTAAATGTCCAACCCGGGTCGGATATGATTAATTGTGCCCAGGGTTGCCACTGGCTATACAATTGTATGAATTGATATACAATTCAATATTTTTTCGTACATGCATACCACATTAACGAAAAGCATACATTATGACTTATGTTGGTTTCGCATTGATTCGAACGAGTCTACGGTTATATATTTCAATCACTTCGTCCTTCGATAGTCGAGAGTAATCTGTCTATCTCTGTCTTCCGTCTTATTATGATAGGCCTGTCCCGCGTGTCCGTCTATCATAGAAGTCATAGATCACGATCACAGAGCACAAAGCACTTAATTTTCAGATCAGTTAAATGTCAAATCTGTCGGAAACCGCTGACGCTAAAATAAAAATAAATCCACAGTGAGAAAAGAGAAAAGACGAAGTGTAAATGAATATTTATGAATGTTAGTTGGTAGTTCACCTCACCCCTTTTGATTTTTGTTTTAGAAGACTTTGTGTTGTCATTTGATTTGATACATAATATAAGCTAAAGCTAGATTAGTAGATGCAGAATTTTCTATTAATATTAATGCAAAAAGTAATCAAATCAAAATATTTGCAATAACCACTTCAAAATATTCACATTTCACATACGATGAAGTGTCTGCGCATGAGCTAATCGCTCTATTCCATCTTTGCATCATGCAGGAAGCTGTCACTTGTCAATTATTCTGATGACAGTGTTGGCGACCATTGATGCTATAAAATTATAGCGAGAAGCACACATTTTCATCTGTCATTTTCGTACAATTTTTTTTTCCTTGGAGCAGCACTGATTGTGCATCATGGTCTTAGCTGGTAAAGCAGAACCTATGGTGTAGGTGCGAGAGATGAATAATTCGAAATTTTATGTCGAAATATATATTTTCTCAATCCTACAACATAATAATGTTAAGTCTCACATACAAAAATTAAAAATTGAGGCTCCTCCATTGTGGGATTCAGCTTGTGGATCTTTGATTGATATTTTGGTGCGTGAAAAAATATTTTCGTTATAGTAAGACTTGAGGTGATAGCTAAATCTCACCATGTAGGATAATAAAAGTTGAAAGTTGAAATTTTTATATCATTTGGGAATTATTTCAACTACCTTTCAGTTCAAATTTTATCGAATACCGTCACTAATCTCGATGACATTGAAGTTTTCACCGCTACTTACTCAAGTGAGACATAGATATTAACAAGACATGGAACGGTTCGACGGAAAAGCGAAAGCCACCTTTGAATTGAAGCCGACCTTGTGGCTACGTTTCATGGATGATACCTTCGTCATCTGGAAACATGGAAGAGACGCGCTGAACCGTTTCCTAAACCACATGAACGCCCAACACCCTAGCAAAAAATTCACCATGGAGATTGAGCAGGACCAACGGATAGCTTTGCTAGATGTACTACCAGGCTAAACCACAAAGTGTATCGAAAAGCCACACACACAGATAGATACTTGCACGCACTATCGAACCACCGTCCTAGCCAAAAGAGAGGAGTCATCTCCACTCTAACGGAACGGGCTCGGAGATCAGGAAAGCCACCATGAAACCGAAGAGAACCACGGTTCAAAAAGCGAAAAAGGATCAAATGCTTGCACGCGCATATCTACCGTTCATCCCTAGGGTCACGGACAGAATTGGTAAACTTGGATGAACACGACATCGAAACAGTCTTCAAACCCACGAGGAAGATACAACAAAGCCTCAGGTCGGCTAAAGACAAAAGAAACATATTATCAGCAGCAGGGGTCTATCGCATACCGTGCACTTGTGGGAAGGTGTATATCCGAACCACCAAACGATCCATGGGAACAAGACTGAAAGAGCATAAAAGGAACTGCAGACTAGGCTAAGCGGACAAGTCAGCTGTGGCAGAACACGCGCTTGGTGAAGGAGACCACATAATTTTCTTTGAAAACACGGAACTACTTGCCCCCCAACCAGGGATACCATAGCCGACTGGTACGGGAGGCAATAGAGATCCGCAAACACACGGAGAATTTCAACAGAAAAGAAGAAGCGGTGAACCTCAATCGAATATGGAACCCCATTTTAAGGGATTGTAGAATAACGAACAGGACAACAGGCAGCAAGATTGTTAATGTTCCAGGTTCAAGTGCAGGTACGAGTACAGGTACAAGTGCAGGTACAAGTGCAGGTAGCAATACAACTGATTACCTGACAAGGCATAAATACTTTACGAAGCCTAAAAGTTAGTCATCGGATAGCAAGCCATGATGGTTAAACCTGTGAAGAAGCTAGCCACTCGCGCGCCAGCGAAACGTCAGGAAGAAATTCCAAAAATCTACGGCTTTCAAACTCGAAAAACAGTGACATTGAAGACAATTAATTCATAATAAACTTGTTTTCAACAACATTACAAACTCTACATCGGAGGTTTTAGTTCTACTCCTCAGTAATATCGATTTATGTGAACTTTTCAACAAATAAGGTAACTGTTCAAATTTCGTGGACTGCGTACATTCGATTAGCGATTTTTTTACATTTTTTATGTTGGTAAACTCGTTTCGAGACTCGGACTGTCGAAAAACAGTGTGCGTCGCCTCTGTTTGGAAAACCATTGAACAGCAGAGCACATACTTTGTGTCTGCCCCGCTGGGCAGGCACCATGGGCGCCCTAGCACATCAAAAACCGATGAAAATGTTGAGAAAGTTAAGGAAATTGATATGGATAATCGTCGAATCTCTATTAAAGAAGTTGCTGAGGATGTCGGTATATTGGTTGGCTCATGTCATGCGAATTTTTCGGGAATTTTGGCCATGAAGCGTATGGCAGCGAAGTTCGCTCCAAAGTTGCTGAATTTTGACAAAAAAAACGTCGTTTGAGAATCTCTCAGGAACTGTTGAATGACGTCAACGGCGATCCAGATTTGCTTAAAAGGGTCATAACTGGTGACGAATCCAGGTCCAAAATATTATGAATATTAACACTGAAATACTGTTCATAGATTATTTGGTAACAAGTAAAAAATTCCCATACACAACCTTAGGGTTTTATTGGGTTCTCTCAATGTTTATTACCAATTATCTAGGACAAACAGTTGAATGATTTGTTTTTTTTTATCCTTTCTGAAATCGCATACGATGTATTTGGAAATTCCTTCTATTGCTAGGGAATAACCATATCATTATTATTATTTTTTACCGAAGTATGCGTGCGATAATTCCAATTTACCACATCGGAAATATGGCAACAATGTTTCTTTTCTCGGTAAATATTACTTCAATAAAATTTCTGCGGGAAATGCAGGTCTTACGAAATATCTGCCATTTATTTTTGTTGATTTATCAGCAATACGTTGCATACAGTCGTAAATGCATGTCGCCTACTTATTAAAAATTGGTTTTCTTTGACATTGTTTCATTTTGTCTGCGGCAACAAAGATTTTCCAATCGAGGTACGTGCTTAAAGTTCAGTTTCTATAATATTTTCTGTTGCAGGAAGTTGAATAATCATAATACACTGTCTTATGAACGGCTAATGACAGTATACGTTACTGAAAGTTCAGTTTTTATGTAGTTTTCTATTCTTATGAAACAAAAATATTCCCATCGACATAAAAATCAGAGCATGATTAAAGTTAGGATATAATTCCTGAGTCTGTCGATACTCACAAGGTTTGTGTTTAGAGGAAATTCGTCGTTCAGCCTAGTATCATTGATTACATCTATGCCGGGTCAAAACAGCGCTGCTTGGTGTTAAAACGCATACAAACGAAACAAACTCGTTGATTTTCTGAAGATTTTCTTGTCCAAAATAATTCTCCAGAAAATCAATAACTTTGTTCCAAAATACCTATTTTATTTAGCGGTGTCCGCGGTTTGCTTTCATTTTTTGAGTTTCTGTCCACAAATGTTCCCTTTTGATTTATATCATACACACTCAAATAAAAGATGATTATATAAATTAGAGAATAATGTTCTCATATAACTCTTCTGAACTACCACACAATAAATCTTTTACTGATTTCCGAAATTTATAGTTAGGTATATTCTCTAAAAATTTAATATGGACGATAAATGTAGGTAAATATCAGTTCATGTTTGTTAATCTAACAGACTGTAAAATGAAGATTCCAAAGACTGTAAGAATTTTATTTGGTTCAAGCAAGGGTTTGCAGGAGTCTCAACTTTTGGCAATGCATATGAATCTTATAGCTTTAAATCTTATAAGTTATTCTCACTGCAAAACACCTTTTTTATTGAGGGTTAAAATATTATCGGTGAATTGAAGTTTATTGCCGATTATTACCTCTAAAAACTTAGAACTAGCTTTGTTTTCAATCATCTTGTCTGCGTCCTTTGTTGTTGATGGTATGGTGTCAATGAATTAGCAAATTGATATTATGTGAGAATTACATAAAGTTTTATTTCGCCCTAATATGTGGTATATAGATAGAAAAGTATCGGTCCCAGTATTGAACCTTGTAGTACGCCATTTTTTATTTCGTTTTCTAATGAGGATGATGAGATTTTTACAATCTGACTTCTTCCTGTGAAATGCTTCTTGAACCATCCAACTTAAAAGTCATGACAGTAACCAAAGGCAATTGTAATATTCCGCATGCTTATCGATGTAAATTATTACATCCATCTGTATTTCGAAACCGACTATAGTAGGTACGTCGAGTAAGCACATTATAATCTGTAGATTCCACTGAGTTTCTCTGTTTAATGGATCACGATACTCGTATACTATAATCGTAACGCAGGAGGTAGTGCATACAGAAGAGGGGTTAGGTTGTTGACTCGCAATTGTTATGAAGAAAGTTGGTTGCCGGTACGTTCACACAACACAATTCACTTTACGGCCATTAGGCATTTAATCCTCAGCGTCATGGATATGATTTCTTTTCTAGTAATAACGGTCGGCGTTCGAGAAATTTAATAAACGGCTTTGTTGAGAAATTCGACTGTTGGTGAGGGGTATTTTGTTGCTGTTCGGCGAAATTGTTTTCCTGTGATGTGTTTACTTCCCAACGACATGGTCTTCCGTATCTTGATGTGCGTGGTGACGATTGGATAGGATATTTGTAGGCCGACATCTCTAAATGAAGTGTTTGAGTGAAATTGTCGGCCTCCATTTCGCAAAGGAATATGTCATAGGTATGTACAACTGAATACAAAGTCCAGGGAAATGTCAAGAGTAGATCGATAATTTTTCGCCGTAACGTTTGTTTTGTTTTGTTAAGTAGATACAATAATTTAGTAAAACAACTCAGTGCCCCGACAATCTGAATTTTTCTTATTGCAACGTACAAAACGTTACCTTCGAAAAAATTAATTTTACAGATGTCATTTAGTTCAAAATAAAAGCGGCGTTGCCAGATAATAATAAAGCCTTCGGAACACCCGAATAATCGAATGTTATCGTCAAAACGTTTGAAACTGAATTTTATTTGATGATCATAATTTCAGTTTGTTTTTGGGAAGTATATAAAATAGTTTCGTGAAACAACTCGATGTTTCGACAACCTAAATTTCTCTTCTGATACGTATGAAATCAACTTCAAAAAATTTAATATAACTCAGTGTCGTATGTCAAACTGAGCTCATGTAGTTCAAAAATGAAAGCGGCGTTGTCAGCTCGTAATAAAACCTTCGAAACACCCTAAAACAATCCAGACAGTCGACATTTTTTCTTAGAATAATCATAAGTTCGATTTGTTTTTATGAAACAACACGGCCAAGAAACTCGGAGAAAAGCTTTTTTTGCAGAAATTCATTTAGTAATCATAAATTCAATTTGTTTCAAGAAGTAGATACGGAATTTAGTGCCTCTACAACCTAATTTTTAATTCTGATGTATAAAATTAGCTTCAGTAAATGAATATACTTTGTGTTGTATGTCAAACCGATGTCACGTAGTTGAAAAAAAAGCGGTGTTGCCAAATAACGAAAACAAATGGAAGTTTTACAGACTTCAAAATTTTATAGAGATTTGATCGGATAGCATAATTATAACCTATGTTTGTTCGAAATCGATAGACTGAAGAATTACTTTTAAAAATTCTTTCATCTCTAGAAGGCTCATTAGGAATATTACAATAATGTTACACCCAAGACGGCAAACATTTGTCTAATGGAAGTCAATTATTTGGCCTGCGCTTGAGTAGAGTAACTAGTGTAATACAGAAAGAGACAGATAATCATGATTTATTGACCAATAACTTCAAGTTTTCACTGACAAAACACGAGTACACAAATTGTAACCTTAAAAATTATCTCAAATTTCAAACACATATTGAAAATATTGCATACTCAATACAGATATATGTTCGTCTTGAACAAATATTGAACATGCTTGGGAAAGCTTTGTATTGTATAGTGGAATACATGAAGCGGTTTTGTAAACTGTTGAGTAAAAATGCCAAAATGAAGTCTTGTAAATGTATAAATGTGATTATCCTACGAAATAATTTTACACGCTCCACTCGCTTACTTGCTGTACCATATTTGAAATTAGAAACGAAAGTGTAGAACATTTTTACATTTTTAATGAAAAAATAATCGAAAACCTATTTCGGTTTAATTGGAAATGAATTTCAAACAGAATCCTGTATATTTCCAGACCATTCAATATAATATGAAATACTCTATTCACTCAACAAACAAGTGACCATTTCCTTACAAAATAAAGTCAACGTAAAGTCGATGATTTCCGATAGCTGAAAATATTTGTGAAGTTTTCTTCCTTCTACAGGGAATTGGGAAAATTTCGGATATACGGTTGGCTACCTCGTTCACAGGCAGATGGGGCGATGACGAACATGTTGTTTGTCGTTAGCTTCAGCCTAGTTCAAAGAATGATACTCTGAAGGAATTCGATTTTCAATCTTTTAGATGACTTGTTTCAAACATGATCATTGAAATGTATCATCTCCTGTACTACAAAAAAGTGTCAGATTCTAATCATGCGGTTCATTTTTCTGTGGCAGTAAAAAAATGCATCATTTTATTTTCCACAATAAATATATTATAATAAGATAAAGTAGAAAGCTTTAAAACTTTCCCTCTTTTATCATTACCGTTTGTGTTATTTTTGTCTTTCAGCAACAAATCTGGTGATCCTGTTGGCCAGATTTTTAGCCACCCCTCTTTTTTTAAATAACAGATAGTTTTGCCTGATCCCTCTTTGAAAATATTTCACAAGTGAAAAAGGAAGATAAAACAGTTAACGTTTCAGTTGAATTCGAAAATTGCTTCGCTTCGATGTAGAATTATCCTTCAAATGACGTATTGTTTCCGTCAACAATACTTTCAGTTCAGGAATTTTGAGTAAATTTCTGATGGAGTCAACAAATGTTTTATAAATATGTCAATACAAAACGTCACTTTGACAATTCTTCGTTTTTCTCAAAGTTTTCGTCGCCACTTTGCCACGAATATGGCACAAAGTACCTGAGAGAGATAGAAAAGAAATATCTCCAGAAATATCACCGATTATTTCCTTTCTATATACATAAAAGCACGATGATTCATTCATTGCATTCTGTCATTACGATCGAACCAGTTGAGGTAGCATGAAGTGCGAGCTAGGAAGAAGTCTGGGGTGCATAACACCAATATTGCTTCTATATTTAACCTTAGTGAGCATGCAGGTTCATCGATACTCGGTTGAAAGTCACGTTTACGTCTCGTTTTCATTTTGGTTTCAGTGTTGATTGTCGCGTTTCTATGGTTGTTTAACTACATCGACGATAAGGATTTCTTTGGGTTCGCGTTTTAAGTTACCTGATTTGTTTGTGCTCGTACCAAAAAAATTGATGATAACGGTGAGTTATGAGATTAGTGATGCGTCTATAGAACTGTATTCTGTCTGGCCCTATAAGACGGAGGAAAATCTTCAATCTGTACGAAAATGAAATGACATTTAATTCATGGAATAAATGGATTCAACCAATTCCATCATTCAAGTCAGTTATAATTTCATAAGTTCATAATTTGTCGATAGCACAAAATGAGGGCCCAAGTCATAAAACGGTCGTAAAACTCGTAAAATCATAGGCGGAGGTTCCTGAGGTGTTTATTCATTAAATATAAAGCTTCAGTTCATATTCGAAACTTGCCTTGAAAGGGTGAAGTTGTTACGAACGAAAATAATTTTTGGTTTAGTACATTTTTTAATCGCATTCAATTTACGGCTTGTTGGTGTTTCGGCGTCTACGGCAGTAATTAACGTCTCTAATATTTATTTTGCGAATTTTGTGCAGTGCGTGAGTAACTTTTTTTCATATTCCTACAAACATATACGTACCTTTCGTTCCTGCTTGTTTTGTTTGATTGCTTGCGATGGCTTCGTCATCATCATCAACATCATCAAGTTTTACACCGGTACTGTTGCGTACAGTCAGTAAGTCTGTCTATTCACCAAGAGAGAAGACTATTGTTTTGAACGTTCACGATGCTCTGGTTTCTCAGAATCCCACAAACACTGTTCAGAACATAATCAAGAGTTGTGCCAACATGACGGGCGTAGGGGAGTCAACAATATATAGGTTCCTATCAGAAAGAAAAAAAAAGGTATAGCTAACCGAAATACAAACGAATACTTAAAGAGGGGGAGAAAACCTATTGAAATTGATGAATTTGCCAAAAATGGTACTCGAAGGAAAATTCACGAATTTTTTTACAAAAAAGAAATACCCAACTTAAACAAAATTTTACAAGAAGTTAGAGACGACCCGGATTTGCCTCATGTCGGACGAACCAAATTGTGGCAAGTTTTAAAAGAATTTAATTTCCGGTGGGAGAAATCACACCGAAAATCACTTTTGATTGACCGGGAAGAGATAATATGTTGGAGAAGAAAGTATCTAAGATCTATACGAAAATTTCGGGCTGAAGGAAGGCCAATTTACTATCAGGACGAAACGTGGGTAAACGCAGGTCATACTCTCACAAAAATTTGGACAGATAAAAATATATCAAGCTCCAGGCAAGCCTTTATGGAAGGTTGGTCCAATTGAACTCATTTGGGCACAAATGAAAAGCTATGTGGCTAGAAAAAATACGTCATATAAAATACAAGCTGTACGTGAATTGTTATATGAGTCTTTACAACATATTACAGAACAAAATTGGCGAGATGCAGTAAGACATGCAATAGAAGAAGAACAAAAAATGTGGGATCTTGACAATATAATTGATGCGACTGTAGAGACACAACCGCTAATTATTAACCTGCAAGACGACTCGGATTCCGAAAATGATCCTGTTTATTTTGAATTTGAATAGTTTTGTAAGTAATCGTAGTTTATATCTTTTAAAAATAGGTATCAATTAAATAAATGTATCTTTTACAAATTGCAAGTAACTTACTATTTTTGAATAAAATAAAGAAATTTTTTTAAAATAAAAATACAGTTTACAGTACCTACAGTTTAAGAATATTAATATATTTATTTATTTAAAGTAACTAATGTTTTAATCATATACTTTACGACACTGGTCACTCATTTCCACTCAAAATACCTACATAATCGGATTAAAAGTTTTATAGCTGTATTGTATTTCTTCAGATACAAGGTGGGTTAGTCGAAAACATCTTAAACTGCCAGTTTTAGTTTGGTTTTTGTTATTATATCATATTAGCTGTCCTCTCTGTATTTCAATTCTCTAATGAGGGTCAAACTTGCAGTGAGCTATCAACAAATTATGAACGGACTATAGTTTGTTGGGTGAATGGTAATTCAGTTCAAGATATATAAATGCAATAGGTATTGCACATTAAGTTTCGTGAGAGACCATTTTAAACAAATAGTTACAATATTTTTTTTAAAAACCCAAAACTTCAGGTTCCCAACTTCAATACTGACGAAATTCAATACAATATTTGAAGCCCTATTCTTCTCCCTTGGGGGTGAAAATTCCTGATTCCCTTTCTTGATGATTATTTACGCATCTGCTCGCGTTTTTGGCGATGACGCTTCATTGCTTAGACCGCCCCTCCACCCCCGCGCATCGTCCCTCGTCGTCTTACAGTAGACGCGACGTGGAATGGTTTACTGCATTGCGTCAAGTTAATCTTATCGTGATAACTTTTAAACGATTCGTCCAAATTTCTTAGTGTAAAAAACACAGTTTATCTATAATAAATACTTAAA